TTTATTATTATTATTATTATTATTATTATTATTATTATCTGCTGCACAACCTCTCTTTATTCACTGGTACATCACATTACATTAGTCAGTACGATGACTAGTGAGCAGGAAGGGCCACTTCACATCACACTTCTCCCGAACCCTTGACGACGTGGCGACTTACGTGTCTTACAAAGACAACTGAAAATGGCAACTTACAAAGTTCACAATTTTGTGCTTAATTCCAAATTTGTCAATTTTTTCTAGACTGTCGACGAATTCATTTTTTGTAATAGATAATGACTGGTCTGAGAAACCGGGACTGCTGCTCTTCTTTAAAGGGAAACGGTAATAATGACGGGAAATAAGAAAATTCGGCAAAGAAACAACCAGGATTTAAAATGTAGTAAGGAATGCAAGATGTAGACACACACACACCAAATAAACAAAAGCCTTTTTTGAAGAAGCAGGGTTTGAGTCTGGATTTGAATGCACTCAGGGTAGGTGACTCTCTGGCATCCTTGGGGATAGACATCCAGAGCTTTGGGGTGCAGCAAGAGAAGATCCTGTCACCCATTGAGTGTAAACAAGCTTAGAGGACAAACAGGAGAAAAGAGGCTGTGAGTTGGGGAGTAGAAAGATGAAATGCCAGATAGGTACTGAGGACCAAGCCACGTAGAGCCTTATAAGCGAGCATGAGGATTTTGAAGTCAACACGACACCTGATAGGATGCCAGTACAAGGACTACAGGACAAGACACATGATTGCTTGCCCACAACCTGTCTGCCGAATTCTGGACATACTGAAATTTGTTTAGGGTGGATATAGATACCCCAGCGAGCGAGGAATTATAGTAATCAATTCTAGAAAAGACGGATGCGTTGACCAGCTTTTCTGCTACAGTCTGAGACAACATAGGAAGAAGTTTGATTCGTTTTTTTCCTTCCGTAGAGGTCAAACTGGTTACAAGTATTCCTCTCAATTTTAATTGTTCTAATACAGCCAGACTCAGTCCTGACACGCCCACATCCTGACCACGCCCTCTTTCGCATTGCAGGCTCCGCCCCATACTGGAAGTTAACCACCGATTGGATGAGAGGCGTGTCTCTCACTGACGGCATGAGGGAGATGGCAGCTCCCATCCTAACCCTCTCTGTTGCTCAGCCAATCGTGTGGAGCTTGGGGAAATCGCTGTCACAGTCAGCCATCGACATGACCCACCCTCGAACCCGTGACCACAGAGCTCACCCTGCAATGGGCCACCAGACAGCAGGCGCCTATGTTGAAAAAACGAAACTTAACCTTTAGTCACGCTCACTTTCTTTCTATTATCTATCTTGAAAGGAGGCCTTTTTTCCAGTTTTTTTTTAAGTTGATTCATTTTAAAACATGTAATTTTTAGAAATATTATTTAATCACAATATAAAGAAAAACAGGAAAAGGCGTTTATTTAATATTTGAAGTACTGGGCAATGTGTAGGTCATTAATGTTCCGGCAGCAGTTTTTGAAAGCGACTGGTTAAATTTCACTCTGGGCTCGTACTCCCTTGATTCCTTCATCCCACTGTTTTCTAACCGTTTCTTCCAATTCAGGATCACGGGAGAGCCAGAGCAAATCCAAGCAGCAGGCGGGTGGCAGGGTACAACCCACATGGGATACCAGTCCACTGTAGGGCAAACTGACGCAAACACAGACACACACCCACACCAGCGCCAAGTTTCCCAGAAGCCAATTCACCTACTAGTACGTTTCTGGACTGTGGGAGGAATCTGGAGCACCCCGAGCAAGCCCACCTGAACACAGGGAGAACATGCAAACTCCACGCAGACAGCAACCCCAGGACTGGAATGAAACCCAGGGCCCCAGCACTGTAAGGTTCTGCTGGAGCTACCCCCTGCGCCACACTGCCACCCATGACCTCACTCGTTTCCTCCTTCAATTCGATTGGCGCAGCCGTTTCTTTCCTCCTGATCTGCTGCCCCCAGTGGGGCTGCGGGGGCAGAATGGCCGCTGCTTGTCAGAGGAAGGCTGGACATGCTGGGTTTGTGCACCTGGGGGTGTGGATTTAGCGGACCTGACTCTGTCTCTCTCCCGTCTAGTCCATGTGGAAGACGAAGAGAAGCACAGTGGACGGGTACTTCCTAGCTGGGAAGAGCATGGTGTGGTGGCCGGTGAGTGTGAAGAAGACCAGGGAGAGTTATAGTAGGGATTGTTCAATTCAATGAAAAACTGTGTACAGTACATGTTATATCTACGCCTGTGGGGGCTGTACTTCAATGATGAATGATATGGTTCTCTCCTCTGTGTATAAATGCCGAAATAGCCAGCAGCCATATCACTCTGGAACTCACAACTGGCAGCCCACTGAAGCCCAGCAGGTGTGAGTCTGGTCAGTACCTGGATGGGAGACGTCCTGGGGAAAAACTAAGGTTGCTGCTGGAAGAGGTGTTAGTGGGGCCAGCAGGGGGCGCTCACCCTGCGGTCCATGTGGGTCCTAATGCCCCAGTATAGTGACGGGAACAGGCGCTGTCCTTCGGATGACACGTAAAACCGAGGTCCTGACTCTCTGTGGTCATTAAAAATCCCAGGGCGTTTCTCGAAAAGAGTAGGGGTGTAACCCCAGTGTTCTGGACAAATTTCCCACTGGCCTTTACCAATCATGGCCTCCTAATAATCCCCCTCTATGAACTGGCTTCATTACTCTGCTCTCCTCCCCACTGAGAGCTGGTGTGTGGTGAGCATACTGGCGCACTATGGTTGCTGTTGCATCATCCAGGTGGGGCTGCACATTGATGGTGGTGGAGGGGATCCCCATTACCTGTAAAGCGGTTTGAGTGGAGTGTCCAGAAAAGCGCTATATAAGTGTAAGCAATTATTATTATTATAAGGATGCTTTTGGGATGAAAGGAGCGATCACAAGGATTTTTTCCGATTCCTTTTCTGTCCACTAGGTGGCAGCACAATCTCACTGATAACCACAGGACGAGACGGAAACTGACAAAACCCGAACAGCATCAGCACTTTCTGCTCATGGACTCTACGCGGATGGTTTTCTGTATCCACGGGTAGACCGTTAGCCCACCGCGACCCGGACTGTCGCCACGCACACACAAGACTATGCCCAGAGAGCGCGTTTCGGACCGGTGTGCCGGACTCACTGTGCACCGTCAGGATGTTGCTCTTGATCTCGGCCCTGATGTAGATCCGGCCCCGGCGCTCCGTGTGGTCCGTCCCGCACAGGCTGGGCACGTTGGCCACGCAGCGCTTATGGATGTTCATCATGCAGTCTGAGGACACAAAAATAAGACCGGGGGTGATTCCAGTTCTGTACACCTCAGCCTTCTGTTAATACACGTTTACACCCACTGTACTGTGGACACACGATACCACACAGTCCCACCGGACTGGCCCCAGCCAGCCTTCTCCAGGATGTCCCATTCCCGGTCATTCCTGAAAACCCCCTTCAGAAAATGTCCACCATTTTCCAAACGCTTTTCCAAAACCTCCAGGAACCCATCAAGCAGAGGTTCCTAACCTTGTAGACACCTCACAGCCCCTACAGCAATACATGGTAGCTCAACGCTCCCACCAAAAACAATAATTAGCAGTTTTGATTGTGTTTTTTAGGCTGTTTAATAGATTGGTAGGTGCATATTTCAAATCCAACTCGACTAATTACTTTTTGAAAGCAATAATTCCCTAATAATTTAATAAACATTATTATGTCATATGCTTTGAGCGGGTTATGCAGTAGAATTATTTTAATAACACAAGCAACAGAAAGATCAGTTCCCCTGAAGGATCAGAGGGAAAATGAGCAGTAGTTTTAACACTGTGTTGACAGGAGACGGGCAGGTGTTCACAGCGGTGTTAAATTTAAGTTTGAATTGTTGTGGTACGCGGCAGTTTGCTGTATCTGCTTAGACACATGCAGGATGTTGGTGACACCAAAAACAAATTCTGACCCAAACGTGTATATATATA